TATATTTGTACATTATGAATACAACGCTTCTTGCAGAAAATCCTAATCAAGCTTATTATCGAATTGATGGAAGCTAACACCAATATTTGCTCGACAGCTGTATTCTGGCTCTTTTCTTCTTTTTTTTGAGCTTCTCAGATGAATCTGCTGTCTCATCACGAAGATTGTTATTTCACATTGGTCAGTTGTGTCTAGCTCTGCTGTCTCTATGCTTTTCATATTTGCATGGAGCATGCTGCACTCGTGCTGCCTTCTTGTTCTTATTGGAGATTGCTATTGTGATGTTGCTTGCTTTGGATTCTTTTCTTTTACTTTTTGTAGATTAGTAGGAAGAAAATAAGAAGAACCCATACCCTTCTTTAGTTTATCATGCCATTTTCTTAGTCCACCAACTTTCTTTTTGAAAAACCATATAAACCCAAGTGGGCGTGAATAGAAAAGAAAAATAGTCTGTCAGATGATACACACTTTTTCATTGTTTAAACATAGCCACGGTAATGAACACAAAAATAATTGTTAAGGTGACACAAAAATATAATAAATAATGATAATTGTAATTATTAATCAACAGAATTTGTAAAATTTTTTAATTTAAAAGTTTAAGACTAGGATAATATTTTCAAGCATTGGAATAGCTTAACTAGTTATAAATTAATAAAATCATAAACCAAACACACTTATAATATTTTTTCATGAAACATTTTTTGTGCTCCTTAGTAATAGATATTTAATTCGATTTGTTAATAAAAAATATATTTATAATATTTTATGTAACTTTAACAATTATTTACGAGAATAATACCTAATCTCTTGAAATAAAACTAATATTTCCAAGCATTAGAATGCCTTAACTAATTATAAATGAATAAAATTATAAACTAAACTCACGTATGATAATTTATCATGAAGTATTCTTGTGCTCTTTAGTAATATAAATTTAATTTAATTTAATTTTTAAATAAAAAAATGCATTTATAATATTATATATGACTAACAATAATTTACGTGAGAGATGCCGTTTAAAGTTTAAACGCTTCCACACCCACAATTGCACTGATCCTGTGAGAAGACTTTTAAGAAGAGAAGGGCCCCGCTTCAATGGTTGTCTTAATCTTCTTTTAAAAACAGTTTTTTAAAGAAAAACACCACTCCCGTGCAGCTGTGTTTGTCTGAATTTTCTCCACTTTTTGTGCTAGGTGCAGTCGCCTGTTGCACTCTCCAACTAACACTTGATTATTTATTGGGCCACATCACAGGCAAGGCGAGAGCAACAGGCTGGCTCCGAGCTGCAACCTGTTGGAGTACTTTTTGGTAGTTATTTTTCAACCACCCAATAACCCTTTTTCTGATGCTAATTTTATCCACTTAAATTACCAAAATTTTAACGAAAAGACAATAGTACCCTTCGTCTGCCTCTCGTCCTCTTCCCTGTCCCCTCTCTCCTCTTCCCTTTCTCTCTCATCCTCGTCAAAAAACCCTCCGCACAGTCATGAACACCAACTTTTAAAGAGTGTTTACATTAATTTTTATGATATAGTTAATAATTAATATTTAATAATTAATAATAATTATTGTTTATAGTTTAAAATATTTAATATATTTAATTAAAATTAATAAATTATAATTATCTTTAAAATTTTAAAATAAAAATCCATTTAACTTGTAAGTTTTAATGACACAAAATTTTAAAAAGTTTGAAATTTAAATTAATTAAAACTAAATTTTTAAACTTAAATTCTTGTCCCTAATACTCAATTACAAAACTAAAAGAAGAATAGAACATAAATCAATGATAAAGTATTCATTTAATCACTAAATCATTGATAAAAGAAAAATATGAATTTGGCTTCATACGCTAAGACTTACCTCAAACTAACAATTAAAGTCTTTTTTCTTTTTTTGACAGTAAAAAATATAGTTAGTAAATTAGTATTTATTTAAGTATAGATAAAAGAATCGACTTAATGATTATGTGTTGTTTTTACTTTACTTCTCATAAAAAAAAACATAACCACTTGAGCATACGAGGGAATGCAACAATTAAAGTTTAAATAAATAATTTTATTTAATTGTTTTAAGTGAATAAAAAAAAA